CTTCATGGTGTGAGACCTATCTTCACCAACACAAATTGCAACCTGTTTATGACTTAGAAAATAAATTTGAAGAAGTTGCCTAAATCAACACTATATGACTTGCTCAGGATCACACAGCTTGTTAAGTGTCCAGGTAGAACTAGAGCCCAGGTTCTGCTGAGGCCATACCAAACACTCTCTCACAACACCTTGCTTCCTCTCCATACAAATAACATATAGCACCATGGATTTAGAGCTAGAGGGAACCTTAGAGACTAATCCAACCCACTCCATTTTACAGACAAGGAAACTGATAACCAGAGCAGTGAAGTGACTTGCCCAAGTTCACATAGGTACTAAGCGTACAAAGTGTAAAAGGTAGAATTTGAACTCAGGTCCCAACTCCAAATCCATTGTTCTTTCTAATGTAGCATGCTACCTTTCCAATCAATTCAATTAAATACAAACATGAACCTATCTTCTTAGTTTCCTAATAAATGCCTTTAGCATGTGGGCTCAATCTTGTTACTTTTGATATCAGAAATCTAAACTAGAGTTAAGAAACTGAAATTCAGCAAAGGAGAGAGCGAGGCAACTATTTGCAAAAGCTATGCCAATAGGCTGCAGGAGGGTTCTACCTATGCCCCTTGCAAGGTGTGTACATAGTGGTATTCCTTGTACATGTGCAGGAGGAGCTAAGAATGCTTCTTGGGATACCTGGGGAATACAGCTGCTTTGCTCTCTATACCTTTACTCCTCACCTTTTGGGTCATGAACACCTGGGGTTGCATGGATGTACAACTGACCCAAGTTGCTACAACATCTATGCATAGGGGGGACTCGTTGGGAGGGAATTACTACTCTCTACACTGTGATTATCAACATGACAGTGTGGTCTGGATAAGACCATCTCACCTACCCTTACCACCTTTAACTTGCCACCATAGAGGGAAGAATTACAGAATCCCATCATGGGAAGTGACCTAGACACTATCTGGTCCAACCTGTTCCTGATAAAGAATCCTATCTATACCATCCCTATCAAGTGGGCAAAAAGTCAGTTCTTGAAGGCCGCTAGTGATGGGAAGGGAACCCATTAGTTCCCAAGGTGGTCCACTTTGGTACACCTTTGATTGTTAGGAAGTTTTTCCGTAGATCAAGCCTAAATATAATTCTTTGAAATGTCTACCTATCCTAGTTCTGCCCTCTGATGTCAAGAAAACCAAGTCAAAGCCCTTCCACATGACAGCCCTTCAAATACTTGGAGGTAGTTACTATACCCTCCCCTGGTTTCCTCCTGTCTCCTCTTGTTTCCCTACACCTTCCCCAGTCTCCCCTTCTTCAGACTAAATATCTTGAACTCCCTCAACCAGCTCTCAAGGTGCATCAGGCTGGAGAATCAGGGAGAGGCTTGTAAAGTATACCAAATTAGGAAAGAATAAAGGGCTGTAAAAAATCCCTAAGAAGTTACTATATAGATTACAAAAATGACTCTATTCTAAAACACAAGCTCATTGTAACATTCGTCAGTGTAACAGCCCGAAAACCTTTCCATCTATAAAATAAGATAAAAAAATTTCAATGTCAAGAGTTTGGATTTGTTTCTATTATTGGGCTTCCTATTATTTTCCCCCAGCTTTTGCCCTACAGTTTGCCACGTATTTAAAATGCTACTCTGGTTGCCCCCTTCTTACATGTTTATATTTGGTTAAAAAGCTCAGATTACTAATACTATTCACAGCCAGTCCTAAAACAAGCTTGAAATTGGGAGTTTTAAAGTCCAATCCTTGAGCAATTTTCAAATACTTTTAAAAAATCACTCATACCCACAAACTTAATCTCTTGTTGCTTTTACAGGTAACACACTTTTGACCATCAATAAGTCTTTTCTGCTCAAAAACTGCCTTCGGAAGCAGGTAGGTTCTCCAGCGTCTATCTGTTTCTTTATTATAATGTGTTAACCAAGTAAAAATCTTAGGAAATTCATACTCAAAAGGAGGTCACTGAGACGTCTTTCAAAATACAGGGAAGAGAATTAGAAGAAAGGCCAGAAAGCACAACAGGAAAGCATCAAAAGCTACAGATTATACTTAATTTATAATTTTTTTAAAGGGAACTGTGCATAATAGAGACCTGAAGCTTTGTGCACAATCATATTTCTGTTCTACTATATATGGAAATGTCTGTTTTATTTGTTTGTTAAAATCAGAATTTTAAAAAATTAAAAGGGAAATTCATACTCTGAGTGATGGCCTAGGAAAAGGGAGAGGAAAATCTCATTAGTTAATAGAAGGACAAACTTAAAACTAATTAGTATTTTCTTTTGGAGCATGATTAGATCACATTATTTGTACTGTCCCTATCACAGCTCTAGTTCAGCTGTTACATCCTGGCACCAAATTGCTTTTCATTTATTAAATAAATAAATAAATAAATAAATGCCAATCCCTCCACGGTGCTTGGAACATAATAGCTGCTTAATAAATGCTTATTTATTGATTTTAATTAAACCCCATCTCTAACTTTGTTATTAGCTAAACATCTTTCAAAAAACAAAACAAAAAGACTGGTTGTCAGACAGGCACATGTGGTATCACTGGACATGGATTCAAACCCTAGCTTTGTCACTTGCTACTTGTGTGACCTTGGGCAAGTCACTTAAACTCTCTGGGCCTCATTTTCTTCATTTGTAAAATGAGGAGTTTGGACGAAATGGTCTCTCTAAAGGCCCCTTATATCCATGATTCTACACGTCAAGTTACAGCTATGACATGACTTTCAATCGCAGCTCTGACAACGATGTCTATGGAGCAAACTAAGAGGAAAGAATAGAGGACTCTGCCAAATTTCTGATTATTTTATGCTTCGATTAAAAAAAATTTAAATAAAAACTCCTTTCCCCCACCCAGGGCGTCCATGTCCTAATTTAGGTCGGGAGACAATACGTGAGATCGGAACCGACAGACTGGGTGTGGTCATTTGGCAACCGACCCGAGGCCCATCCCTCATCCCCGTTATGCCACTAAGAAATGAGAATCAGCTCTACTTCTGAGCTGATTTTTACAGCAGCCCTGTTCCAAATTTCACCAGAAGCATCCCCAACCATGACGACTTCCTTTTACACACGCACAAGTAACCAGTCGTACCAGACTCTTCGGGAGACAAAGCCCCGTCTTTTAGGCAAAAGCGACCCCAAGAATATTTCATTTTTTTTGTACTAAGGTTTGGCATGTAAGAGGCTCCCGAAGAAGACATACGCGGCTACAACTAGAACGCCTGATGTCGACCTCGCCACATTTCTCATACTAACTCCACAGAGCAAGGTAGACTGGCCACAGACCGAAGGCACCAGAAGCACTAGGGGGTGGGGACAGCGCAAGTAGCCGAGATCTGTAATTCAGGCAGGCTGGAGCAGCGAATACAATTCGCCACACCAGACAGGATTCAACAATGTGTCTGAAGGGAGAAGACAAGGTCTGAATGACACTGACAAAACACTGGCAGGACACTGGCAAAATAAAGCCATATTTTAGTATGTGTCCTTACTGTTTGTTCACTAAATATTTTAAACAAAAATTTCCTTTAACGAGAAGGTAGAATTAGGACCTTTTTTAGGGGCATGAGATTGGGGGGAGATAAAAAGGGGTATTCCTTCTCAAACATAATTACCCGAAGGATTTCAGAATTTGTTTTCACATTTTACAAACTAGAAAAACAACAACACTCTTAGGGCCATTTTGAAGCAGCACGTCTGCTACTCTGAGAGCCTCCGAGCTTCGAAGAGGAAAAGGTGGGTGAATTGGGGATCCGCTGGATTTTCCCCAAATGTGTGGCCAATCTCCCTCCCTCAATCTCAAGCTTTGAAACAAAGCTCCATCTGGCTCAGACTTTACTCTTACCTTTCTCTAGCCCCCAGCATCTGTCTTAAACCCAGCCTAGAGTCACGCCCTGCTCAGAGACCTATTCCCAGCCTCCAGATTTTGCATACCCACACACACTTAGCACATCAAGTCTTTCACCAAAACTCCCACTTCATAGCTCTTTTTTCCTTCCCTAGAGCTCCATAGCACTACCCACCCCACCCAGTCTCCTGCCTCCACCCTTTTCTCTCCTGAAATCCAGGCTCCTGCCTCTTTCGACAACATCCCCCCACCCCGCCCTTCCACCCCCAGCCTCATCCAGAGCCCAGCCTTAAAAGATCCATCTCATCTCGCTCCCCAAAGCTTGCAAGGGGAAGCTTTCGCCTTTTTTCAGAGCAGGTTGCCCGAAAGGCTTGGAGACCGGAATAATAAGTCCAGGCATCTTTCTTGCCTTTAGAGCTAGCTGTGGCGAGTGGTCTCTTTGTGGCCCTGGGCAGGTGGCGGAGACAAGCGGTGGTGCCTCGCCCTCTCTCCGACGCAGCGCGGGGACTGGGTTGGAAAAGAATAGCAGTCAGCCCACAGCTGAAATCCCGATTTTTGGGGCCACAACCAGGCCAAGGGGCATGGGGGCTGTGGAGTAGAAGAGAGCGTGCAACCTCTCGAAGCTCCTGAAAGGGGAAAGGACTGGGGGGTGGGGGGTTTGTGCATCCCCAGGCTGGGCCAGCTCAGCCTGCAGCAACCCACCACCACTACTATCTGAACACAAACTGCCCTCCTTATCCCATTCCTTACCCCCTCCCCCGACCCCCGGTGAAACAACAGCTCCCAATGCCCCCCGTCTCCTCCTGCACCACACCTCATCCTCAGGAGCTCTGACCAGGGGTCACCCAGACCAGAACCTCTGACCTCCAGTCTCCCGCCTCTAGTGCGTGTGTGTGAGGGTGGTGGGGGGGGAGAAGAATACACACTCCCACCCTACCTCCTCCGCTCCCTTTAGGAGTCTGGGTGCGGGGAATTACCTCCCTCCTGGTGCGTTCGGGATTATTTCCTCCCCATCCCTCCCACGCCCTTTTGTAAGGCTTCGCCGAGGTAATAAGGGGGCAGATGACGCTGCTGCTGTCACTCAGGGAGAAGCCCACTGCCCACTATGCCATCACCCACTCTGCCTGGCTGCCGCCGCTGCAAGCTCCTGAGTCCTCCACCGTCCTCCTGTCGCTGCGATCTCCCTCAGTGCCGCTGCGGGGCTGAGGCCGTGGATGCTCGGAGCGGGGAAGGCGGCTACGGCCGCTGCTGCTACAGCTGTCGCCGCGATCCGGCTCCGCCGTGGCTGCGCTCTGAGCTCGGTAACCCCAGCACACTAAACCAGACTCCGGGATGGGAGACGGAGCGGGGCGGGGGGAGAGGGAGGAGCAGCTAGGGGTGGGGGGAGAGTAATACGAGAGGGGGAAACAGAGAATGGGGGCGGGGAGAGGGCACAGAGGGATCAACTTCAACCAATCACTGAGCGCTTGGCTCCGCCTCCCCTCCCCCTCTGCACCCCGTAGCCGAGGCTCCTAGCCTAGGACTAGAGGGCTGATCCTATAGTCCTCAAGGCGGGGAAGGTTCGGACTACGACTCCCGTCAGGCCTTCCTATGGAGCCGGGAAAGGAGACAAGTGAGAGCCGCAAGAGAAATCGACTGCACAGCCCACGCCCCTCTTCCATCGTTCCTTTTGGTTTCCATAGTGACCGAAGACACTTCACAAAGCCCTGGGCAGGCCGATATCCCAAGAGAACTCCCGGGAGAGAAGAGGGGCGGGGACCCCAAAGGAGGCCCACCGCGTCCCCTCCTACTCCTGCTCCCGCCCCGTAGCCCGCCGAGAGCCCCAGTGGAAGCTGAAACAATGGCACGAAGGAACTACCGTCGTGCAGCGTGAGGCCTCTCCGGACTGCTCAGCCCCAGACCCTTGGCGAGGCTGGTTACTCCCCGGCTGAATTCCCCGGTGCTCCCCTCCAGTCTGGTTCCCTCGCTGTTGCCAGGGCCCTCTCCTTCTCTCTGAAGCGGGCAGTTTTCGGGATTTTAGTGACTCAGGTGGAGCGCACACACAACCTGTCTCTACTACCATGCACACAAAGTAGAAATCCGCTGGTGTGATCCCTGGGATACCTTAATTTGGCAGCGCTTTCTCCTGGGCAGTTTTAAGTTTGAAAATGGCGCCCCCTGGGTTGCTGTCCACCAGAATGTGTAACGCTGACTTTAACAGCACAAAATAAAAGACGCGTGCATTAAGCGTGTGTGCATTTATTTTTCTTAAACTAATGGTGTTAAAAAAAAAAAGGCCGATTCCTGGCGGTGGGGGAGGGGCGCGGAAACGGCTCAACCACACTCCTGCCTCAGAGCTTACTTAGTATTATATTACTGCGGATATCAATCTTCCATTTGTTATCTGTATATATTACTGAATGGATTCTCGTGGCATAAAGCACAACCCTCCGAATACAGAGCTCTCCTTTCTAAAAATGCAAATATTGATAGCTTTTGCTTGACCATCACTTTGCTTTGTAAGTATATCCCTTCTGTGTCAAGAGAGCTATTCTTTGTAACAAAGACTTTGAAAACTACAAAAACAAAGAAGCGCGGGGGTGGGGTGGGGGGTAGGGATAAGGAGCAAACCCCACACCCAAAGTTCTGAAAGGATGATTGCGAAGGAAGGAAGTGTATTTTCCCATTTCTTCTTTTGGGTCAAGAAGCTTGGTCATTATAATTCTACTCTTTCGGTTTCCTTTTTTGTTGTTTGTTTTGCTTTTCTGAACCCAGACCTATCCTTTTTCTGGGATTTCTTATGTTACAGACTTTGCGTGGCCTCTCTCTATACTCAGGTTGCCTATCCTATCACTTCCAAATTCTAAACGCTTTAAGGAAGAAAATGGCTTTAGGCTCCAGAAATATGATTAAACTTCTGAGGAATATCTCCTCTTCACCTCCATCCGGTGGGATCTCTGGGAGTACTGCAAGGGATGTGAATGAGATTCCCCGCCTTAAAACCAAATCTTCCCAGGTGGATCTTCAGGGCAATGCTGTAATACTAGCGGTTAGGTGAAGAATGCCTCCGGGGATATTTCCAAGCAAAGTTGCTATTCACTACTCCAGCCCAGAGAGCGTCACCAGAGGGACTCTTCCCCTCTACTGCAAAAAAACCCACAACGATAAGCAGTATAGCTATGGAGGCTTTGGGGGCGGGGGGGCGGCGGGGAAGGCTAGTCAAAGCTAGGCACAATTATCCCCACCTCCTTCGATTCCTCAAGGCGTCCTGTGCTTTGCACTCCTGGGTCAGTACCTGGCTGGTCCTGGCCGCTTGTTGCAATTTTGGAGGCAGAGCACACTAGGTTCCAATCCAAGCTCTGCTACTTACTTTTTAGGATTAAGCTACATTGGCCTATTTGCATTTCTTTGAACACTCCATCTCTTTTGCCCTGGCTGTTTCACATGCCTGCAACACTTTGACTACTCATCTCTGTTTCTTCATTTCTTTGACTTCCTTCAAGACTCAGCTCAAATACCACCTTTTTGACCTTTCCCAATTCCTTCCCCACACTAGCCTTCCTCTTTTACATTACTGTCACCTACTATGTACAAGGATAGCTAGCTGGCAAAGCAGGTTAGAATCAGCAAGACTGCTCACCTTCATGAGTTCAAATGTGGCCCCAGACACTTACCAGCTATGTGACCCTGGGCAAGTCACTTAACCGTGTTTGCCTCAGTTTCCTCATATGTAAAATGAGCTGGAGAAGGAAATGACAAACCACTTTAATATTTTTGCCAAAGAAAACCCCAAATAGGGCCACAAAAAATCAAACAAGACAACAACAGCTATGTATATATTTTGTATTGCCTAGTTATTTTGTTATGCCCCTTATTAAAATGTAGAGACTAGGGTTTTGTTTTGGGTTTTTTTTTTTGCCATTCTTTGTATCCCTAGTACACAGCACAGCACTTGGCACATTCTAGGCACTTAATACATGTTAGACCATCACCTGTGTGATCTTAGACAAGTTGCTTACTGACTCAGTGGGTATCAGATTCCTCCTCTGTAAATTGAAGGGATTGAACTATGTCGGGAGTGGGAAACCTGCAGCTTGATGCCACGTGTGGCCGTCCTGGTCCTCAAGTGCAGCCCTTTGACTACATCCAAACTTCATAGACTGTGACTAAGTGAACTCTAAGTTCCCTTCCAGCTCGAAATAGATAATAGATCTAGCAGTAACTGGGACAACTGTAACAGTTCTGTGTTACCTGCACTGAGTCACCCAAACTCCTGGAGATGGTGTCTATACTATGCCTTTTGTGAGCACCAGTTGACATTCAGAGGGCCTCTATTGTACCCCTCCACGAAACAGCATTATGAAACTCAGGTCCTCAAGAATCTAACAGAGATGGAGTGTGTATTAAGAAAGTTGGTACCCACTCTCCTGAGTTCGCTACAAGTGCAATACATCTGGGAGAAATCCCTAAACCAGTATGGCATGGACCCAACACTGAACCAGCCAGGAAAATGCATTGAAGTGAACCAACATTGCCAGCTTTAGCTGGCTCGTTAAGGTTTTTGCTGAAGGGCATGATGGGAAGGCACAGGTAGCCTCTAGGGGCAGATAGCATTTTCAGCAGCCGCTTATAATCACAAGCAGTATCTTTTTAGTTCCTTATGTTTCCAAATTTTGAGTTTCCTGCTTGTTTTCTCTCTAGGTCCATTTCTTAGACCTGATACTCACATTTAGGCAGTACAAGGGATGGCTCCAGGACCCTTCGTCTAGAGGGCACCATATGTGGGACTGAGCCTAACCCAAGGCTTTTCAAACCTTATAAGAGTAGCCCATACCTCTTCAAATATAGGGCCCTGGGGGCAGCTAGGTGGTGCAGTGGATAGAGCACCGGCCCTGGATTCAGGAGGACCTGAGTTCAAATGTGACCTCAGACACATAACACTTACTAGCTGTGTGACCCTGGGCAAGTCACTTAACCCCATCGCCTAGCCAAAAAAACAAAACCAAAAAAAACAAATACAGGGCCCTGAAAGCTACACTGAGGTTCAAGGCATGATATGGATCAGCATTGACAGAAAACATAGCTCATGAGCCCCCATTGATGATTTACTTTATGAGACCAAACCAGAGAACACATTAATTAAAAGCAAAAGGAATAGTTAAAATAGAATAGCAAGGAAAATAATAATAACCATAAACATATAGTATTTAAATTGCATCTACTATATGCTAGACACTGTGCTAAACACTTTACAAATATCTCATTTAATCCTCACAACAATCCTGGGAGGTAGGTGTTATTATTTTCTTCATTTTACAGTTGAGGAAACTGAGGCAAATAGTGGTTAAGTGACTTGCCCAAGGTTACACTGCTAATAAGTGTCTGAGGCTAGATTTGAATTCAAGCCTTCCCGACTCCAGTCCACTATCCACTCTATCCACTTCGACACCTAGTGCAGGTTAGGCAACTTTTCTGACTCTGAAGCTGCCATGAAATCACCTGGTTTGGTATTATCTTCCGCTGTTCTGAAGATGTCATCTACTAGCTTTCTGCTGAACTGTGTGTGAGCTTCTGTGGCCATCAGTGGAGCTGTCTTCTCTGTAGTGCTGCTACCTGCTGGTTTCCCACTGAATTGCATCTGCTTCTACATCTTTTTTCTGCAGAGAAGCAGTCAGGCTCTTTTGCAAGATAATTCCATAGCCAAAGGCTATTTCCATTCTTTTTTTTTTTTTAAGTTGGTTGGATTCACAGCACAATGCATGCCCTGCTGACATTTCATAAAAGTTATTTTGTCTCTCATTTTAAAAGTTTGTATTTTTAAAGTAAGTTTGGTTTTGATTTCTTTAATTTCATGAATAAAAAATGTCCTTTACGATTTAGTATTCGAAAAACATTTGCCTTAAAAAACAAAATCAAATTCCCTATTTGCATACCCTAATGAATAGGTTTATGATTCCCCAGCTGAACCCCAACAGCCAGCCAGTCAACCATCTGGCAAAAGCATTTAGGTCAAGACTTTCTTTTGAATTGCTTAGCTTCTGCCTCAGTGACCACTTTCCAAGGCCTACTATTTGAGTTGGAATGAGAAAATACCTTACAACTCCCATGCCCCTGGCATGAAACAGAGGAAAGCTTAATTACCCTGCATCAATCAATCTACATTTATTAAGTGCCTACTCT